TACATACAACTAAAGTTGACTATATATAATGCAAGAAGATATCAAACGGATATCAATTATAAGGTAATAATTGAATCCACATGTATTGGGATCTTCTCCTTATCTCAATTTACCTTGAGAAGTTTTGATTTATTTTATAGAGAAAATCAAAATGAGGATACATGTTTAAAAGGATATAAAAAAGACAAAAAATAATGTGACACTTAACTGTGATAACAATAATATTAAAAAGTTGTAATGTGAAAATTTAACGTTATCTAACCATATCGCAAACAATAAAATTACTTTTGCACTTACCATAGTAATCATATCGTAAACAGTAAAATTATTTTGTACTTACCATAGTGATCAGAACTGATCAGATCTTTAATCAGTTTAACACATTTATCATCATCCAAACGTACTGTTTTTTTTGACAAAAGATATTGAATTATTCCCTTGTAGCCCGCTTCTGCTGCTTCATGAATTGGAAGATAACCCTCTCCGTTCCTTATGTTTGGAAATTTTGTGTGCCTCTGAAATAACTTTGACAGCGTTTGTATTGCCAAGATAGTAGCGTGGAACATAACGGATAAGCCAAGATCTCCTCTCAAATTTGAAGTTCTTCTGCTTGATCTTGAATGCAAGCTTCTTTGTAAGCAAAGTGGGGGCTCTGATACATTAATTATGTGAAAAATGGTATCCCCAAATTCTGAAACAGTTTCAGTCAAGGCCCCAGGAGTGCTATCTACCAAATTTGTAAAATCATCCAATTACGCTCCTGTACACCTTGATTAATGGCCTGAACCGAGCTTAACATCTATTGTCACCCTATCGTTTTGTTCTCTGTCAATTCCAAATAATGTAGATGTGAAAATGTATGTAATGACTTTAAAATTTATTATGAATACCATGAAATTTCCCGTTTTATCCGAGTCACATACCTTTCCCTTTAAATACTGATTGATCACGTTCAGTTTTTTCAGTAAGATCAACTTGCTTCGTTTGAATGATTTCATCTCCCTTTTTGCTAATGGAGTTATTAAGTGGTTGAACCCTATCACCTCCTGTACTTTTTCCGTTCATTATTAATTCCAAATTATGTACACATGAGAAAAAAAAAATTATGAGTTAAACCACTATCTACATAGTCTTTTAACTTACTATATATGTTCACTATTATTTCCAGCTTGGCTCATTTAAGTGGTTTCGTCTACCTTTTTTGCTTATTGAGTTATTGGATGGTTGAAAATGAATGCCTTTTCTAGTTTTTCCGTTCACTATTAATTTCAATAATTATGTATACATGATAATAAGTACTAGTATATGAATCTATCGATATGTAATATAGTTATGAAAGATCTATGAATACTATGCAACATATCACTTATATGATCTCCGTCTTATACTTACCTTGCGTTGTCCCAGATTCATGAGCATTCTTTTTGCATTCCATTTCGTGGTTCCTTTATTGGAATCAACTTGCATCGTCTTAGTGATTTTGACTCCGGAGTTGGAATTGAACAAGATCCATCTATTCATTCTTTTGCCTTTATCAAAACTACAAATACGGATAATCAATTAAATAGATTCAAGACGAACGAGCATATATTACAGAGGCTCAACCACAGATGCCAATTTCTCAACAACTCCTTAAAGAGTTCAGACAATGGCTCAACCACAAATGCTATGGATTTTCATCGAAAAGAAAGGATAGAGATATTGTCACAGTAAAGAACGATTAGTTTGAGCGAAAGCAAAGAGAATTTGGTTACTTTTCTATGAGAATAATCCTGAAAATTGAATTCAATGTACAAGAAAAAGGAACTGAACGATACATGAAAAGCAATAAAGCTGGAAATTAAAGCATAATTAAATCTTAAGAAAATGATGAGACGCAATGATTTTGCGATGGAAGAAAAGGAAAATGCTTTATGTTTGGGATAGACCTACAAGTGGGGGACTATAGTTCTAATTTTTTGACAAACGAGAAAAGGAAGTGGACGATACATTAAAAGCAAATAAAGGTGGAAATTAAAGCATAATTAAGAATCTTAAAAGACAAGACAGATTTCGTATGTGAAAGAAAAGGAAAATGCTTTATGTTATGTTTTGCGATGGAAAGAGAATTTGGTTACTTTCCTATGAAAATAATCCTGAAAGTTGAATTCAACTTACAAGAAGTGGGGGATTAATAGTTCTAAACTTTTGACGAACTAGAAAAGGAAGTGGATGATCATTAAAAGCAAATAAAAGTGGAAATTAAAGCATAATTAAAATCTTAAGAAATGATGAGACACAATGATTTTGCAGTGGAAAGAAAAGGAAAATGCTTTATGTAATCCATGGTCAGATAAAGACGATGAGTGGTGACATAACCTTAATTAAAGTAATATAATATTTAGAATATTTAATTAGTGGATCAAATGCTCGTTATTAGATTCTAATAAATCAATAGAAATACTATTAATTTCAATAAATAGTTCCTTATGACTCTTAAAGTTATATTCCAAATATTTTGTTAGAATTCACATGAAAATTGCATTGATAAATTATCAATATATTGGTCAATTAGAAATCTAAATCTATATAATATACTATATTTATATTGAACTGTTCTTCTTTTCAGTATTTTAAATTAACGAAAATTTCCTATCAACTTCCTATATAATAATTTAATTAATCATAAATTGGAAATTGGAGTTGTTAAATTTAAAAAGCAGAGAGAGAGGGTGAAATTTGAAATTTAGCTTAAAGACAAGGACCAAAAGGAATTTAATTCCAAATGGGCAGGCATAAAGATCCAGCCTTTTAAATTGTACAAATGTACAGCTCAGCTCAGCTGAGTGCAAATCCTGGTTATCACTTACTAAACAAATCCTAAAAATTTAATAAGGATATTCACAAAATAGATTCCTTTATAAATTTAATTCAATTCATTATAATTAATAGACTGATCACAACATACTCCAAAAATCAAGTAGAATTCGGCTAAATTAAAAACATGGACTTAATCACACTTACTTGCAAATTCAGACCAAGACAAGTAGAAACATTTCAAGTCTAAAGGATTACTCTACCAACTTGAATTAATTCATCACCAAATCTCCTGCCAAGACTTGGATAAATAATGCACACTAAGAGCACAAAAGTTCTCTCAAATGGATAAATCAATTTCATATTTTTCATAAACTAATTGTTAGAATGAAATAGTTGCTCTTATATAGCCAAATACAAAGATAAACAAGTAATTAACAAATATAATAAAATAAAAAAAAACTTAACTAATATTACAAGCCATTCATTCAAATAGCAAGGTCATGCCTATTTAATACAAAGATAATAATTCCCTAATTCTGGGATCTATATCTTTAACCACCCTATTAATTGAAATAAGCTTACTTCATTAGATCAAAACTTAATCAATGATCCTAATTAAGTCTATTAATAAGGATGTAAGAGTTTAGCCTTGAAATCATGCAAATGGATCCAATAAGGGTTCATGTGGATCTTCCCCTTTGGAATGAGACTTGAGCCGATTTGACTTTGTCAACACCTAGACTTCTTTCTTGGTAGATTTAAGCTTCACTTGTTGAGCTTAGACTGAATGTCATTAGTCGCTACAATTTAGACCAAGTAGGCCTTGATTTTGTGCTAAATTAACCAATAACCAGTCTATTTCTGTAACTGGGCTGTGGTCTGCCCAACACCTTTGGACCAGAAGCCCATGAAATTAGGCCATTTTAAAACCCAAATTAATATTATAATGAGATAAAAGTATATTATAATTATTATTTAAGCAAACCTTAGGAGACCTAAAAGGCACTATTATATTAAATAGTAGAATGATAAATACATGAACTGATTACAAGGGAATAATAATAATACAAAAAAAAAAAAAAAAATCACTATAGGAGATGAAATTAACACCTCATACGAGTTTAGTCACTAAAGGAAGAACTTGTGTGGCTACTATTGCCAGAGTGACATCCTTAATTATCTATTTGGGGTTATGGGAATGCTTGGTCTATAAGTGGGAAAGAAAATTTCAACCAATAGAGGAAATTGCAATATGACAAATAAGGTCACTGGGAGGCATCCGAATAGCGAAATTGGAATGACAGTCAAATTCCATGAATGAGAAAGAAATGTGTAAACGGTAGCACCAAATGCTACCATCATGCTTGCAATAGAAAAGAATAGCGTGATAAGGCCGATGATTAACTTCCTTGGCAATGACATCAAAAAGTCGTCTTCTGAGTATCGTGAAGTGAGGATTGCCAAGAACATCAGAATTGAAGCTGTGGAAGAAAACAGTGCAAGCGCATCTGATATGACAAAGACAATGAAAGCTATGTCATGCAAGAAATTGGGTATCCCCTCATTGTTGTTGCCACCTGGTATGGTGAAAGCTACTGCAAAAACTACAGTTATTATCAATGCGCCTACAACTTGCATGATGTAGCGGTTCCCTTCATCCATTTTTCACCTTGTTTAACCAATTCCTTGTGTCCTTCAGTAAAGACTTCTCTCGGAGTTTTATTATCCATATTTTGTTGCTCTTGAAGAGATGGATGGACATAACTTTCCACAGCCTGAAGATAAAACCTTAGCTAGTGTAAGCATGAGCAGTAATAAATTTGATTCTCAAACAAAAAATCTCTAATATTGTAAAAGAACTAAATGTTATAAACAAATTATTAAAGAGGCCAGAAAAAATAAAGGAAACTTTAGAATTAAAATTAAAATTATATATAGGCCAGATTTCTAAATCTCTTGCACATTCAATTATAAATTTATAATCCTATATGAGAAATGAAAGTACAGCAGTTTGATGTAAGATCAAGGCATCTAGAGGCAAGAATAAGATTTAAATAGAATAATCATTTGAAGTAATAGTTAAGATGATAAAATAAGTTGTATATTTTTTTTTTCTCTTTTGCAGGTTGTATATTTACCTTGAACCATTGTAGCTCTCTCTGCATTTGCAATGCTGCACCAGAGATCTGACTTGACGCTGCCTACTGTCCAGCCAAATGCAAAAGGTTGTCAGCTTTTCCAACTTTTTTGGCCGCTTTCCACTCGTATTGATACAGATTCCTTTCTTTTACAATTTTAAAAATCTTTTCTTGGCGATGTAAAATTGCCATATGAAGTAGACCGTAATTATTATCTGTGTAGTGGAAGTTATAAGCATAGAAATAAGCATTCAAAATTTCATTGACAATCTCGCAAATCCCAAGTTTTGCAGCTTCAGGAAATGCCGGCCAGAAAGTTTTAAGGGCCTCTGTGGAATTCCACGTAACGTCATTACCATGACACAAGATTCTAACAATGTCAAGGGTTTGCATATGTGTCAACTTTATATCGCGAATGTTTTTTATGTCTGGGACTGAAATTAAACAACTCAAGTCAATAAAACAAGATAAAGAATTCCTTCAAGATACTCCTTGTAATTAAGATAATTGTTCGATACCAATTACCTAGCAGCATAAGGACATGCCAGATCGTTTGTCGCAGAGCACCTGTGTAGTAACAAATATGTACTATTATAAATTGTTTTGGTTTGTAGGATAATCCATTTCAGAAAGACTACTTATTTAGCATATTTGTATAGATAGATAGGTAGATAGATAGACAGAAAGATAGATAGATAGATGGATAGATAGATAAGAGTTGTACAAACCAAATGAAGCATAGATTATTCGACGAATAGATACAAAATGTTTGCATTCTTTAAACTTGTCTAAACACTTAACCGCGTTTTCTATGTCCCCATTGTTACTTTGATTGTAAGGAACATATTCCTCTCGCAGAGGAATCCCTGCAGAGACAGGCAACAACAATAAGACCATGTGAATATAAGAGATGGGTTTGTTAGAGTGTATCTGACTATCTGAGTCTATACTACATGAGAGGAAGAATGTTGTTACTAACAATCATAGATCAAGCGTCTCCAAAACCCAAGGCGACTCCAACTCGCACTTTCAAAAGCCAGAGGCTTACCAGCCAATATATCTAATATACTTTTTCTGTCTGAATTGTTTTCAAGAGCTAACTTTGGATATCGCTTCCATAAATCTAGCGCTATACCTGTAAATGGAGTAGAGATAATGAATGCAATTTAATTAGCAGGGCAATTGTTTTGTTGTAAGATTGAAAACCGTAACGTTGATAGCGGCAAACTAGGATGAAAAAATCTATCCACTGACCACTGAGTTGAACACACAAAAGAAAACTAATAAAAGAAAGCAAAGACAATATATATTATGATCAACCTAATGGTAAATTAACGAGGACTTTCAGCAACCTTTGAGTGCTCGAGGGATACTACAGTGACATGCTTCTATGCATGCGAACTTGTACATACAACTAAAGTTGACTATATATAATGCAAGAAGATATCAAACGGATATCAATTATAAGGTAATAATTGAATCCACATGTATTGGGATCTTCTCCTTATCTCAATTTACCTTGAGAAGTTTTGATTTATTTTATAGAGAAAATCAAAATGAGGATACATGTTTAAAAGGAATATAAAAAAGACAAAAAAATAATGTGACACTTAACTGTGATAACAATAATATTAAAAAGTTGTAATGTGAAAATTTAACGTTATCTAACCATATCGCAAACAATAAAATTACTTTTGCACTTACCATAGTAATCATATCGTAAACAGTAAAATTATTTTTGTACTTACCATAGTGATCAGAACTGATCAGATCTTTAATCAGTTTAACACATTTATCATCATCCAAACGTACTGTTGTTTTTGACAAAAGATATTGAATTATTCCCTTGTAGCCCGCTTCTGCTGCTTCATGAATTGGAAGATAACCCTCTCCGTTCCTTATGTTTGGAAATTTTGTGTGCCTCTGGAAATAAACTTTGACAGCGTTTGTATTGCCAAGAATAGTAGCGTGGAACATAACGGATAAGCCAAGATCTCCTCTCAAATTTTGAAGTTCTTCTGCAGTGATCTTGAATGCAAGCTTCTTTGTAAGCAAAGTGGGGGCATCTGATACATTAATTATGTGAAAAATGGTATCCCCAAATTCTGAAACAGTTTCAGTCAAGGCCCCAGGAGTGCTATCTACCAAATATTGTAAAATCATCCAATTACGCTCCTGTACAACCTTGATTAATGGCCTGAACCGAGCATTAACATCTATTGTCACCTCAATCGTTTTGTTCTCTGTCAATTCCAAATAATGTAGATGTGAAAATGTATGTAAATGACTTTAAAATTTATTATGAATACCATGAAATTTCCCGTTTTATCCGAGTCACATACCTTTCCCTTTAAATACTGATTGATCACGTTCAGTTTTTTCAGTAAGATCAACTTGCTTCGTTTGAATGATTTCATCTCCCTTTTTGCTAATGGAGTTATTAAGTGGTTGAACCCTATCACCTCCTGTACTTTTTCCGTTCATTATTAATTCCAAATTATGTACACATGAGAAAAAAAAAATTATGAGTTATAACCACTATCTACATAGTCTTTTAACTTACTATATATGTTCACTATTATTTCCAGCTTGGCTCATTTAAGTGGTTTCGTCTACCTTTTTTGCTTATTGAGTTATTGGATGGTTGAAAATGAATGCCTTTTCTAGTTTTTCCGTTCACTATTAATTTCAAATATATTATGTATACATGATAATAAGTACTATGTATCTATGAATCTATCGATATGTAATATTAGTTATTGAAAGATCTAATGAATACTATGCAACATATCACTTAATATGATCTCCGTCTTATACTTACCTTGCGTTGTCCCAGATTCATGAGCATTCTTTTTGCATTCCAATTTCGTGGTTCCTTTATTGGAATCAACTTGCATCGTCTTAGTGATTTTGACTCCGGAGTTGGAAGATTGAACAAGATCCATCTATTCACTTCTTTTGCCTTTATCAAAACTACAAATACGGTGATAATCAAATTATAAGATTCAAGACGAACGAGCATATATTACAGAGGCTCAACCACAGATGCCAATTTCTCAAACAACTCCTTAAAGAGTTCAGAGACAATGGGCTCAACCACAAATGCTATGGATTTAGTCATCGGAAAGAAGAAAGGAATAGAGATATTGTCACAAGTAAAGAACGATTAGTTTGAGCGAAAGCAAAGAGAATTTGGTTACTTTTCTATGAGAATAATCCTGAAAATTGAATTCAATGTACAAGAATTAAAGGAACTGAACGATACATGAAAAGCAAATAAAGCTGGAAATTAAAGCATAATTAAGAATCTTAAGAAAATGATGAGACGCAATGATTTTGCGATGGAAAGAAAAGGAAAATGCTTTATGTTTGGGATAGACCTACAAGTGGGGGACTAATAGTTCTAAATTTTTTGACAAACGAGAAAAGGAAGTGGACGATACATTAAAAGCAAATAAAGGTGGAAATTAAAGCATAATTAAGAATCTTAAAAAAAGGACAAGACAGATTTCGTAGTGGAAAGAAAAGGAAAATGCTTTATGTTATGTTTGCGATGGAAAGAGAATTTGGTTACTTTCCTATGAAAATAATCCTGAAAGTTGAATTCAACTTACAAGAAGTGGGGGATTAATAGTTCTAAACTTTTTGACGAACTAGAAAAGGAAGTGGATGATACATTAAAAGCAAATAAAAGTGGAAATTAAAGCATAATTAAAAATCTTAAGAAAATGATGAGACACAATGATTTTGCAGTGGAAAGAAAAGGAAAATGCTTTATGTAATCCATGAGTCAGATAAAGACGATGAGTGGTGACATAACCTTAATTAAAGTAATATAATATTTAGAATATTTAATTAGTGGATCAAATGCTCGTTATTAGATTCTAATAAATCAATAGAAATAACTATTAATTTTCATAAATAGTTCCTTATGACTCTTAAAGTTATATTCCAAATATTTTGTTAGAATTCACATGAAAATTGCATTGATAAATTAATTCAATATATTGGTCAATTAAGAAATACTAAATCTATATAATATAACTATATTTTATATTGAACTGTTCTTCTTTTCAGTATTTTAAAAATTAACGAAAATTTCCTATCAACTTCCTATATAATAATTTAATTAATCAATAAATTGGAAATTGGAGTTGTTAAATTTAAAAAGCAAGAGAGAGAGGGTGAAATTTGAAATTTAGCTTAAAGACAAGGACCAAAAGGAATTTAATTCCAAATGGGCAGGCATAAAGATCCAGCCTTTTAAATTGTACAAATGTACAGCTCAGCTCAGCTGAGTGCAAATCCTGGTTATACACTTACTAAACAAATCCTAAAAATTTAATAAGGATATTCACAAACATAAGGATTCCATTTATAAATTTAATTCAATTCATTATAATTAATAGACTGATCACAACATACTCCAAAAATCAAGTAGAAATTCGGCTAAATTAAAAACATGGACTTAATCACACTTACTTGCAAATTCAGACCAAGACAAGTAGAAACATTTCAAGTCTAAAGGATTACTCTACCAACTTGAATTAATTCATCACCAAATCTCCTTGCCAAGACTTGGATAAATAATGCACACTTAAGAGCACAAAAGTTCTCTCAAATGGATAAATCAATTTCATATTTTTCATAAACTAATTGTTAGAATGAAATAGTTGCTCTTATATAGCCAAATACAAAGATAAACAAGTAATTAACAAATATAATAAAATAAAAATAAACTTAACTAATATTACAAGCCATTCATTCAAATAGCAAGGTCATGCCTATTTAATACAAAGAGATATAATTCCCTAATTCTGGGATCTATATCTTTAACCACCCTATTAATTGAAATAAGCTTACTTCATTAGATCAAAACTTAATCAATGATCCTAATTAAGTCTATTAATAAGGATGTAAGAGTTTAGGCCTTGAAAATCATGCAAATGGATCCAATAAGGGTTCATGTGGATCTTCCCCTTTGGAATGAGACTTGAGCCGGATTTGACTTTGTCAACACCTAGACTTCTTTCTTGGTAGATTTAAGCTTCACTTGTTGAGCTTAGACTTGGAATGGTTTTGGCCAAAATGTTTGGATTCTCTCCCTCCTTGGAACTTGTTTGGGCCATATTTCCTCCATTGCTTTTTCCATTTCACAATCCAAGTGTTTTAGGACTTGGAGTAAAATTCTTCAATTCAACCAAATTAGTAAGTGTTTTAGGACTTGTAATTCTTTATCCACTTATGTTTACAAGTGTTTTAAGACTTGTAAACGTATCATAAACATACCTTCAAATTTTCAATACACCAACATTAAAATTAATAAATGTTGAATAAATCACTAATTATACAAAAGAGACAATAATTTAACGTGATTGGGCATAAAACTTACATCCGCACATGAAAGACATATAGACTTAAACTTCTAAGAAATTTACAATAGAAAACTAGTCAAAATCCTTTACATTTGGAAAGGACCTGCGAGTTAGGTAAAAACGATAAGTGGTGACATAACCATAATTAATTAAAAACAATATAATATTAAGAATGTTTGCTACTTTAATGTGTAGATCAAATATTGGCAAAATTAATCGTGAGTGATGGTGTCCTCATTGGTAGTAGACTCTAATTTGCAAGTCTTGGTCAAGTTAATCATGAGAATTTAACAACTTTATGTATGAAGGGTTTAATTTTGTTGAAATTACTGATGAGTTGCAAGGAAATTTCTTAGAAAGAGAAATGTTAGTGATGGACAAATATATTAATTGTATAATAATTTCAGATTATAATAATATTTTTTAAATTACATTAATGATTAATAATATTTCTTGTAGTATGTTCTCTAGTTAATTATATAAAACATTACAAGTTAGAAATTAATTAATCGGAATCCAGACAATAGTGACTAGATTATAGCTTCTAAAAAATAATTGATATTGAAATGATTGTTTTTAAATGATCTATCTTTCTACATAAATTTTAGTTGAAATGAAGGTGGCGTTTGGTCGAGGCTTGACCTAAAAAATGTGACACCCTATTTTTTTCACCAAATGTTGGCCAAATATTGTATCTATTGCTAGAAACAAATTATAGATACAGATATAATGTTAAAAGACTATCATTTTGATACTAATACGATACCTAACCTCTCGCCAAAAATTTTGCTTAGTGGCAGCGGATTGTTTTGTAAATCTACATCTTTTTCAAGCTGTTGCTATAATATAATTATTTTTTTCTTGTTTATAGTTATCTAGAATTCGAGTGACTTGTGATTAATGATCGATATCATGACCAATACAGTTTATTAAAATAAAAAATCATCATGAATTATTAAATTATTTATTTCTCTCCAATAAATACGAAGACAAATTTGAAAAAAAAAATGTAATCAAACCAAGCGTCCCAAATTTTTTTTGCATTGAAATATTAGCGTTTTCAGCCATTGACCGATTTCAAAGAGATTAGCCCACATAAAGTAGCCAATGGCGAAACTCCATTAGGGTGGCACCCAAAAATTTAAAAAAAAAAAAAATTGGATCCTAAAGTAATTATTCGTATTTTTAGGTAAATTTATTTTAGCCCCTACATATTTATTTTATTCACCAACACCAAGCACTACCACTGCCCACACCCAGCACCACCACCGCCCACACCAAGCACCACCACCACCCTTGTAGATTTTGGCTTCTAAAAAATAATTGATATTGCAATGATTGTTTTTAAATGATCTATCTTTCTACATAAATTTTAGTTGAAACGAAGGTGGCGTTTGGTCGAGACTTGACCTAAAACTGTGTCACCCTACTTTTTTCATCAAATGTTGGCCAAATATTGTATCTATTGCTAAAAACAAATTGTGGATATAGATATAATGTTAAAAGACTATCATTTTGATACTAATACGATATTTAACCTCTCGCCAAAAATTTTGCTTAGTGGTAGCGGATTGTTTTGTAAATCTACATCTTTTTCAAACTGTTGCTATAATATAATTATTTTTTTTCTTGTTTATAGTTATCTTGAATTCGAGTGACTTGTGATTAATGATCAATATCATGACCAATACAGTTTATTAAAATAAAAATCATCATGAATTCTTAAATTATTTATTTCTCTCCAGTAAATATAGAGACAAATTTGAAAAAAAAAAATGTAATCAAACCAAGCGTCCCAAATTTTTCTTGCATTGAAATATCAACGTTTTTAGCCATTGACCGATTTCGAAGAGATTAGCCCACATAAAGTGGCCAATGGTGAAACTCCATTGGGGTGGCACCCAAAAATTAAAAAATTGGATCCTAAAGTAATTATGCGTATTTTTAGGTAAATTTTTTTTAGGCCCTACAGATTTATTTTATTCACCAACACCACCGCCCACACCAAGCACTAACACCACCCACACCCTGCACCACCGCCGCCCACACCACCACTGTAATATCCCACTTGAGGTACGTGTTTAAGATTTGCTGTATTAGTTAAAAGTTTATTGTTTCAACTTTAATTGAGTTTGTATGTTGAGTTGGTTGAATTGTTGCCTTGAAATTGGTTGAGTTTTGGTGAAGTTGGAAATCCAATCTTCGCCGGGGCGAAGAAAGAGCTTCGCTGCGACGAGGAGGAGGAGTTGCACCACGGGTAGGTTCTGCCCTATTTCACCGAGGCGACGAAAAATGCTTCGCCGCGGCGACGAGCCTAATACAAAGTTTCTTGAGTTTTCTAGAGAATTCTTCTTTTGGGACACAATGACCATTCTACCCCTAATTAGTAGGACAAGTGGGGAGTAAAATGAAAGGAAATTTAGTAGAGATTGTGTTTGGATGGGGGTGTAGTTGTAAAGAATCAAAGGATATAGATGGAATTTCCAAGGAAGGACAAGGGCAAAATGGGAAATGAAGCTTATAAAATGAACTAAAAAGGGTTAAGTGTAGAGAAACCCTTTATTTCTTCATTCCACCGCCTCTTCCATTTGCCCATTTTCTCTCAATTTCTCCATCCAATCTTCCAAGAGTTCTAAGGGATTTAAGAGGGGTTTTGAGTAGAGATTTCATCTAAAGCATCCTAAGGTAAGGATTCATGCTTTAGATGTGAATTTTCTTATAATTATAGTGAAGTCTTATTTGGTTGTTGCTGTCCTTGTGGTTGTTTTGAGTTGTAGAGAAGAGACAAGTCCACAAAGGGAAGGAAAAGTGCTAAAGAAGTCATCTTTGCACAAGGTAAGTAAATCCAACCAA